ACAGCATTATGAAAAGCAAGGTAACTTTTCCGTTTCAATTATCTCCCATTCTCTACTCATTTGTTATACACTGCAGATGTGGCAGTCAGTATATGTTGCTATATCAACTTCATAAAGATTTTTCTCTTTTCAGCTATATATTGATGGAAGCTTAATAGAAAAGTTATAATAGCTTTTGTGTGCATATCAACAAACAACTCTCTTCACTTTCCTTCTGCACTAAATCATCATATTTTCTGGAACTTAGGAGCTTTCAATGGGAAAGACAAGAAGTCCAGCCAAGTCCTGTGTCCCACAGTGACACTTCAACAGAAGACAGACACCATCCAATATTTCACCTACTTGCTCAAGGTTAATACTTAGCTTCACTTATGATCCTAATTTCTTTTGTTGTGCTGTGCCAAAGCTCTTCAAGAGCATGATGGCTGCAATCCAGTAGAAGATGAAGGACAATGTCTTGGTTAGACTGGCAGAAACTCACAGACTATGGATGAATCACAGGTGAGGCTGTAATTCCTATGGTGTTCTTGCAGACAGAACTGCAGAATCATTTGAAATGGAAGGGACCCTTAAAGGTCATCTAGTCCAACTCCCCTGCAATGAACAGGGACACCTACAGCTAGATGATGTTGCTCCAACCTGACCTTGAATGTGCCCAGGAATGGAGCATCCACCATATTTCTGGGCAACCTGTTCCAGTGCCTCACCATCCTTCCATACTGGGAATTTTTTCCTGAAATTTTCCTCCGTCAGATAACTCAGGACTAAACACAGAAGAATGGGCAGAAATAAACTGGCACCACAGCTCCCTTCTACCACTATATATGTAATGTAATTGTCCAGCTTGCCTCTTAGACTTGGAATACCTATTGAACAGTTGGTCATCCTAGAACAGCATACTTCTGTGTACTACATTCTGCATAAACATTTTAATTTTAAAACACTTAACATCTAATCAAAGTAGTTTTTCTTTACATTGCAGTCAATTACATTTTACTACAAGACTATTTTAAAACCTTAATAAGGAAAGTCTGATCACTAATTTACTGTAGGATAAGAGTGCTTATGATAATGAAGATGATACATACTTCTTCAGTGGAAAAGATGTATAATTTTAAATACTTAAATACAAAGATAAGTACGATCCTTTTAAGTTGTTCAGCAAAAGCATTTATTTCCAAAGCTTATTTTTCTAACATTTATCACTCTGACTCACATGGTCAAGTAATAAAAGCTCCCTTCTCCTGTATTGAAGCATCTGGTAAAACTGGTCTCATGATGGGTTTAAACACAAGACTTTGCTCAAGACCTACTCAATCAACAGTTATTTCACAATCTGCCTGGATTGCCCTATAAGGAGACATCAGAAAGGCAGATCATAAGTGGGCTTCTGAAGTTTAGTCAGCACGTTGTTTGTGAGCTCTTTAACAAATGGCCCAAAGGCTGTAGGATAGCTAAAAGCAAGTCTTTATTCAGTGTGGTTCCTGTCCTAACTCAAATAAGGAATCGCCCCTGGATGTAGCTTCTGACTGAAGTGATGCCATCTAGAAAATGCCTTGTTGATCTCTTGCAGTTTGAGTGTAGGGCTCATAACTCCTGCAGGGTTGAAAGATCTTTTGTTGATTGTCCACTATTACTGCATTGAAGTTATACAGTTACCATAACTGAGAGTAATGGTAGACTTATTCCACTGCTAGAGTGTGTGCCTACTATACTTCCGTAAACATGAGTTGGTACCCAAGCATTCTTATAAATATCTTCACCTGTTAGAATAATTCTGATGTAGAAATAATCCATAAAATATAATCCATGAAAATAACAGAATGAGAATGTGACTTGTAGGAGGAGTCCTGAGCAAAGGACGATTGATCATTATTAACATTAGATGCAAATATTCTCAAAAATTACACTATTGAAACAAATTTCCTTTGTCTGGTAAAGCTGTGCACCTGGATCCCTTTGAGTATTTTCATCCATGTAAATCTGAATTTAAACCTCACAAAAAAAACCAAACTCCATGCACTGATATAGTAGTGGACAGAAATGTTCTATTAGATATAAAAATTGTTCTTGCTAGTAGAAAGACAAAAATGTATTGCTGCCTTGCACACAGAGCCTCAATAGCATATAAAGACCCCATACAAAGACCTCAATCTCCTGAAAATGAGATGTTTTTTTTTTTTCCTTTGCACTTCTAGATAATTTTCCTGAACATTGTCATTCCTTCCACTCAGTTCATACATAGACAACCAGATTTCTCATTGTTTTCCTAGCATAAGCTTTGGTCAGATCCTCTTGAAGGTGTAACAGATTGATGATGTCTCAGCATCAGGTTTAGTAGATTTAAGAAGTTTTTGTCTCCCACTTAACTCTACTTGTCCCATACACATAACACAGCAAGAAACACAAAACCACCCAGCTGCAAGCTACTACAGTGTGAGATATCTGACTACTAGTCTCAAAATCCAGGACAGAACTTCAACTAGTTGAAGGTTGGTTAGATATGGTTATGGGAAGCCTGCTGGGTTGCAGTTAGAAAAGATGGGAAAGGTAGTGTCAGCCACTGGAAATGTGTCTGTTTTTTATTGTTATTTGTTCAGCTGAAGTACAGCTTTTCCACTCAGATGTGATCACCCATGCTTTTGTCACATTGGATGAAAAAAATACTAAGCAAGCTGCTAGGGGCTATGCCTCCCAGCCATCTACACGCTGAAACAATGGAGAATGCTACAATTCTGAAAAATGGCAATATTTTAGGTCAGACAGCGTTTCCTACAGCAGGAGGCTTGGAAGCTTTTTGTTGAAGCAAGATATAATTCTGTTCCTCTTCCAAGAACTGTAAATCTATATTAATATCTGAGTTCACACACAATGTCTTTCTCCCGCTAGTTTCTAAGCTAGCCATTGCATAAGAAAACCACTGAAGAATGATAGAGGTTCAAGATCACATTGCTCTATTTCCTAAAAAGATTATGATACTGCCCTGGAGCACAAAGTAATGCTCAGGTAGAGCTGCAAAAGGAGGAACTAAATATTGCTAGCCCATAGACAACAATATCAGGTACATGAACCTGCAGTGGGCAGCATCAGTGTTTGATCCCCTCCTTGTCACTGACCACTCCAGCAGCAACAGATAGCGTCAGGGCTTGAAAAGAATTTGGCACCATTTCTTTACATCATGAAATATAGCATGGAAAGGAAGAGAAAATGTGCTTTGAGCTGTTTTATCACTGTGCAAAGCTTGCTGATGGTTTTATAAATTGCCAGATGGGCATCAAGGCCACTTCGAGCAGATACAGCTTAGCAAGTGACATTTGGGCTGCTAATGCTGAAACAGCAAGCACACGGGCATCAGAGTCATCAGTTCAGTGCAGCTGCTTTCCCAACAAGATTAAATTGCTGTCTCACCTGGAAGCTAACAACTCAAGGCTGGATGATTTTAGTAGTTCTTCAACAAGTTAGCATAACTGAACAGCACAGAGCAAGGGAAATGCCTTGTTTTGAAATTAATTACCTTCAGTTATTAGTCATTGCAAGAAAAAAGAAATGCGTAGGCATCCAACAAAAATCACAATCCAGTCACACGTAGCATTGCTGATGTGCCCCTATCTTCAGCTACAGCTTCACCTCTCACACTACAGAATTCTGCCAGTATCCATCATTGTTTTCCTGCAGCTTTTGTTGCCATTCCAGTTCTGGGATTTCTCAAGCAACATACCCAAGGGCATGTCTGAGTTTTATCTGGCTCTGAAGTGATGGTCACCTTCCAACAGGAAAAAAACCCAAGGCCTTGGCAGCCTTCAAACATTTACCCCATTTCTTTAGATTTATTTCTATAGAATCATAGAATGGCCTGGGTTGAAAAGGACCACAATGATCATCTAGTTTCAACCCCCTGCTATGAGCAGGGTCACCAACCACCAGACCAGGCTGCCCAGGGCCACATCCAGCCTGGCCTTGAATGCCTCCAGGGATGGGGCCATAGGTATCAGCATCTTACAGATTTGAACTACCTATATCCTGTCTCGCCTTATCACAGTAATTAAAATAGCTGCTTAAAGCTTTATATTCACTTCTACACTAGGAACAGAAGTGGAACAGAAATTAACTGCATCCTCTTCAGCTTTATGCTGGACTATGATGCCCACAATGTAATTATCTTAGATGAAAGTAAGTACAGAAAAAAAAAAAAAAAAAAAAAAAAAAAAAAAAAAAAAAAAAAGAAAAAAAAAAAGAACTCAAAATATCATGAAATTCTGAAGAATGAAGTTCTGTCAGTATATTAACATTTTATCCTGCATAAATGTACATTTCAGCAGTTATGAAAATGAGACAGCTGACGGCTGACTATGTGAACAGATGCTGCGAACGCTTCCCCTTTAGTACTTCTGTCAATGCAATGTCAATGCTAGAAGTGACTCCACTGCCGTTCCAGGATACGATCCTGCAAACTCGCATTCACACGAGGAGCCCTGCTCATTTCTAAGGAACGCTTCCATTTGTGAAGCTCTGAAGAGCAAGTTCCTTAGTTGCCACTGACAAATACACAACAAAGTTTTCAGTACTGCAGAATATTGCGGTTTAGGGCACTGGCATTTAGAATCGATGCTATTTGCCCAAGCAGAGCGAGTGTTTTCTTTTAGAAGTTGCACGAAGCACATTAAATATGACCGAGGAACCATTAAAGCATCAAACGCATAACGATAAAAAATGCCACACCGAGCCAAGCTCGCGGCATTACGCTGAACTTTGAAAGATTCATCCGCCGGGAGGACAGAGGCTGCACTGATCTGGAAGCAATGTCAAATTCTGCAACGGCGAAGAGACTCGCGACTCCCCCCCGCCCGCCTTTGTTAGCGGCAGCTCCGGGGGAAGCCGGCAGAAGCCGGGCCGGCCGCGGTGGGCGCGGCGGCAGGTGTCGGCCCGCGGTGCTGAAGGACAGCGCGGGGATCCCGGCGCGGCGCTGCCACTGCACCGCGTAACTTCGGGCACGACGGAGGATGGGGGAGCGGCGCCTCCCCGGCACTTCTAGGTGTGGGGCGCAGCGGCCCCGCCTCCATCCCCCTCGCAGCGGGAGCACAAAGCGGGGGCAGCCGAAACCGCCGCTGAGCCTTCGCCTCCGGGGCGCAGCCGAGCACACAAAGGCGGCCCCGCGCCCGCGGGGCGCGCAGCCCTCCCCTTCTCCGCACTTACCTTTAGCAGCACAAAGAGCCAGAGCAGGCAGGAGCGGGCCCCCGGTCCACCCCGGGCTCCCCGCCGGCGGCGGTCGGGCATCGGGGAGCGCGGTGGCCGCGGCCCGCGGGAGCGGCCGGGCGGGGGAGGCTGCGGCTCCTCTGCCCCCCGGCCCCTCGCAGCTGTACCTCGCCTCCCTCCGCCCGGCTCCGAGCCGTGCCCGGCAATGGCGAATTGCGGCAGCATCAGGCGGCCGGCGGCGGCGCCGACCTCCCCGCCGAGCCGCGCATCCTGCCGCCCCCCGCCCTTTTATTTGGGATTTGCGGCGGGGGGAGGAGGAGGAGGAGGAGAAGAAAGAGGAGGCGGCGGTGGGGTGGGTGTCTCCGCTCACAGGAGTTTCGGCGATCTCGCCGCTGCACGGGAAAAGAAGGGGTGGGGAGAGCCGCCACGGGCGCCGGCAGCGCGGTGTGCCTACGGGAGCGGCCACGGCACCCCGAGGGCTGACAACCCGCAGCCGCCGCCCCGCGCCTCTCCCCCGGCACCTCCTCTCCCCGTGCGCAGGAGGCAAAGCGCAGCCCCGGCCCCTGCCGTTGTTTTCCTAACCTCCCCCCCCCCTCCCCTCCCCGCGCCTGCGGGGGACAAATGCCCCGTGAGCTGGCAAAGAACGATCAGTCACCGGCTCCCGGCAAGCCCGGCCCCGCACCGGGCTCTAGGAGCCACTGTCAGCAGTGAGCACAGGGCTGGGAAACGAGCTCAGGGTACAGCTCTAAGCCTGCGAGGGGTGTAGAAGTAAGAACTCATCCTGTTCTACCACCTACTCAGGACCAGCAATTGTAAGTGTATACGGAGAAAGGTGAGACTAGATCCCACGTAACATGCTGGTTGATGCTCAAGACTGTAACTATGAAGATGTGCAGCTGCTCCTCTTTGTTTTGCTTAATCTGATGTCACCAGGAATAACAAAACATAACCCTCCCACCACCACCACTAGTGCAGAGATGGTCTGCTCAAAACTAAGACCCCACGACCACATCTTTTTGTCACTGGCCGCTCTTTCAGTCTCACCAAAATAAATTTCAGTGCACCTGAGAGCGTGACAACCAATACTGATCTGAGCAAAATAAGATCATACGTGTTCAGGGGCTGTATCAGAGGCATTAAACTTCAGAGCAAATTCAGAACCAGGTGTCTTTCCATTACTTCTAGCACTGGGCTAGAAGTATTCAATTCCTTACTTCTAGGAATTGGCCACCACATCACTTTTGCTTAACACATACACAAAGAAGAAAAGTAATGGCTGAATGAGAATAGTTTTAGTGTTTTCAAAATTTCTAAGCCATTTGGGCAAGGAGTACATTACTACCTTCTTGTGGGAATGTCCTTCAAGCTGATCAAAAAAAGTTGTTCTCTAAAAGCATTGGTAAATCAGATGATAATGATTCAGTTTCTGTGTGCCACATTTTTTATTTTTGTGTAATTTGGATCTTCAGTCAACAGAAGCTGGATTTCAAAGTGGCCAAAGCCAGAGAGGGATGTGCTTATTTTCCAATGAAATGGGCCCTCAAGCAGTAATTTGTCACACTTGATGAGGATTAATCCAGAAAGTGAAGGAGAAATTTGGGTCCTGGGTAGATACTGGCACACAGCCCAAATTTACAGCTCCAGAAAGAAGATGCTATTCATATCTTCATTTACAAGAAACTAGGGACAGAAAAAGACCTTCTCAGTGCCAGCAGTGAAGGACACAGACCTCTCTTGGGTAGCAATCATCCTGCTGGTATTTTGAACATTATCTCAAATTGGTATGCAAGAGGTTAACCATAGATAAATTCCCCTTCAGTGCACATAGGTTTAGGAAGAAGAGAGGTTGTCTGAAAGACAGGGGAGTGAATTTCTTTAGGAAATTAAGATTGTCATTAGTACTTAAGAGCCATGGATTGAATTTTAGTAAACAATAATTTCCTAGCCAAAGTAAAATAAGTTTTGACAGTCTGCTCCAATTAGAGTATTCAGAGGCTAAAATGATGATGGCTTAAACAAGATTGAAGACTAAAGATATTCAAAAAGCAAAAAAAAATATTGAATTTTAGTAGGGTATTGGAGTCTCAGAAAAACTACTATCTGAATCAAAGAGTTCAAGTGAACAATAGCTGAAAGAAATGACAAGTGTTTCTGGAAAGAAACCTTTGATAAAGGACTGAGGTGCTAAAACCTTCAGATCTGGCTATAGCAGTACAGAGATATGCAGCCAAGAGAATACAAGAACAGTATCCTTTTTAGATTTTGGGGACCTAGTGTTACCCAAACTTTAAAGAAATTCCCAGTGCTTTGTAAAATTCAGGTAATGCTGCTAATGGAAAAACATCCTTCAGAAAATAACTGTCTTCTGTCTTCTTTTTAAAGAAAGAAAGAAGAATATATATATTCTTTATATATATATATATTTCAGCAACTGAGGTCAAGATTGTGCTAGACGAAGGTAGTAGAAATGTTACTGCCAAGGGAAGCCTACAGCCAAGTAGAAAAGGGTGATACAACCTGAAGAAAGCTAACGAGCAACGACTGGCATGCTGGAGAGTTTGCCTCCAGGCTTTTTCAATGGGTGAAAGCTGGAAAGTCACACACAGCATTTCTTGAGAGTGCAAGAAGGCAGGATTTAAAGGAGAAAAAGAAAAAAAGTTGCTTTTTTTCTGAATAAAAGTGAAAAGTTAATGCGCAAAGAAAAAGAAAAGGAACAGTGAAAAGGAGGGCAAGCTTATTTTTTCTAGCATCTAAACAAAACCAGTCTTATTAATAAAACAACAAAGCTTTAAAAATAATGAGACCAAGATATCTTATATTTACTCAAGGAATAAGAAACAAGGTGGTTTGTGAGTTTTCATAAGCAGTTAGTAAATGAAATATACTGATAGAGAAGTCCTCCAAGGCCCAGTCCCCCAGTCAAAGCATGGGGACAGTCATAAAGGCTTCCTAAGGGCTCTGCAATCATTCCAGGAGGAAAGGAAGGAAGGGTTCTGTTGCAGCAGAATACTTTGGTAATTAATCTGAATTTTGATCATTTGAACTTGCAAACATAAATATATTTTAAATATACATAAATAAAACACTGCGCTTTTGACTATTTGGCCTAAAAACTTCTTTGGCCCCCAGAACTAATCACAGGTCATTTGTAATGTAACATCCTAACTGAATGAGGATTGTAAACCCCATAGCTTATCATTAAAACATAAAATTAAGATATTTCAGCTGTTCACATAAATGCCTGAAGTGTTCCTGCTTATAACTTACACAGACTTAATCTCAGCTTAAGAGTGAATTCCCCTCATGCCACTGAAAATCCTGATCCAAAACTCAACTCTACCATCTTTGGACAACTGAAGAAGGAAAGCTCTGAATTACCATTTATTCTTAGCTGTGAGATAAACCCAGATTTATATGAAGCTTTACCGGCCTCAGCACGTCTGGATAAATATGGCATAAAATGAGGTTTATTAAAAACCTGTAAGTTGAAGTCCCAGTCTGCGAAGTTTCCAAAATAAAGCTATCTTTCAGTGACAAATGTTTTTAAGGGAAAAAAAAAAAAAAGAGTGTGGAACTTCCTTAAGAAGCAGGTTCCCACCTAAAATCCTTCCATTTCAATGACAAAATTGGATAAAACAGTAAAATAAACAAGTGCAAGGGTGGCTGGAGTAGCGTACACAGGATGTCACTTAGACGTTCAAGTGCAAATTTATCTTAGCTTTCTTTTTGATAAGTACAGGCCCTATGACTTTTAAAAATATGTCCCACAGTCCCTCTAACAAACAGATCTTAAAAAGCTGTCAACTTGTCTTTTCACAACGAGAGTGATTGACACACTTCAAGCCTGTACAACCTGAGCAGCTTCCAGGTGCTTGTTAGTCTTTCAGCACAAAGCAATGAACTATACCACAAAAGGTCACTTTATGAAAAATCAAACATCTGTCTTTGACACTGAATCTCTTCCTTCAGAAATAAGTTTATGAAAGGTTTAGTCTGATATTTCTTTAATGCTGTGCAATATGCTGTGAGATGATGTACAGAAAGGAACAGCTTTTGCAGATGAAAAGCAGTAACGTTACACAGAAAAGCCAGTGTGATTGCTTTAAAGTTTAAACAGTGTTTAACAACTTCTATTTACCTATACTACATCATATGGATGCTATAGAGTGTCTGAGAGTTCTGTGAATGGAGTCCTAGATAAAGAAAAAAATATTCACATACGTTTACAATTCTTGTGGAGTATTAAATATTTGATCAGTCTGTTATCAATAAATATCTTTTTGCTTTCCATCAAGTCTCAATAGATATAGTTGATTGAAAGAAATTGCTACAGTTTTCAACTGTGCTTAATTTTCTATTGCAGATTATTTCCTTCCCAGATACAGCTGACTTCTCCATTTTTGTCTAAGGTCTGAGCAGGTCAAAGGCACATCCACACCAGAGAAAGAGTGAGCTTAGGAATTACATCTGTTCTTAACACCTTCCTCAGCCATATAAGAAGATGCAAACTACTACTACTAATAATATATTTTCTGCTTAAGATGATTTCATCTCTCTGAGTGAAATCGTCAGGAATTCACCTATACATTACATTGTTGCCCAAAAAAACTGAAAGGAAACACATCCAAAAGAAAGACTGGGTCCTGACTCACTCCAGTCAGCTACAGACTTTACTACCTTTCACCTCTAAAATATACTGACTGCCTCTGACACTCAGAGGCTCTATTGATTCACAGAAATCTGAGTCATACTTACAGGAAACATTTCTCCATTTCTCTCCCCAGAAATTTACAATAGGAGCTGCAATTTTGCACAGATGACATCCTTCTTTTTCTTCCCTAGCATGTATACTGAAAGATATTTCCTGTCTTCACAGGGTTACTGTATCTCAATATAAATGTGCATGCCTCAAATCAGTGCCTTTTCTCTCCCATTTCCCAGGTGGCCTCAATAAGCAGCCTTCTTGCATTAGCAATATTTCTTCCCTACACAAGGATAACAGTATTAGACTCTGCATACTACCTTCCAACAACAGGTATCCAGATATCTTGCAGTGGCATAAGAAGAGCTATTCCCCTTGCCTTGCAAGTGTCAGGAGCACAAAGCTCACATGGTCACATGAACAAAAGCACCTCAGAGCCAAAGTTTTGCCTCAAAAACCAAAAAAAGGAAAGATCTTGTGAGGTCTACAGATTTGTTATGTATGCTCAGCAGAAGTTACCCATGAATAGGCAACAGCGTGAAAACTAAATTAAGACAAAAGAACTGTATCATTCATTCATCCCCTGTGCTGCTTTACACCTGGGTCCTGGTGCATGGGTTGAACATCCCTTGCCCAGTCTATGGGACACCAGCACCGGTCATTTTCCTCTGCACACTGCAGATAGGAAGGTAGCACCTTCCTTCACACAGCTAAAGTGATTGGTCACACACTTTGATGAATCATTCCAATTACTGGGTTCTCTGAGTAAACAATTTCTAAAGCAGCCCAGTGTGGAAAATGGGCTCTCAGTTATGTAGGAATGGGTCAAAGCACTTGAAATCATACATTTATTCAAAAAAAAATCTCATTTCATTCACA